TTACACAGCTTGCTGCTCGTATAACTCTGCCTCAGTCCACTTTTTACATGGTAAAACTTCGATCAAAAATATAAAATATCTTCCTAACCTATATTACTGTGCATATTTTATTTCATTTATTTAGATATACTTACCGGTATCTAGTTTTCATTTATGGCACAGCCACACAGAGAACAGTAAAGAGGCTCTAGAAAGTGTGTGCGGACGCATTCCTGTTAACTCATTTATGCCACCACAGCGATGTAAAGGGCCCCAAAGAGAGCAAGACCAGCCTGGCCGTTTTCTCACACTATTAGCTCCAAAGCATCAGCATCATGTCAGGAAAGCACCCACAGAGGAAAAAAAAAAAAAAGAGGAAAACAATAGAGGGAAGTATTTAACCTCCAGGGGACACAAGGGAGTTGTAGGAAGAACGTTTTAAGAGGGTGTAAAAGAGAGAAATGACTCCAGGAGAAACTAGGTATTCTGCATAAGACATCTGCACAGTGCTGGAGGTGGCTTCGCACGACACAGTCAAGCTGAAGCAGAAAACTGGGGACACGAGGGATGAGGGAAACAGGTGCAGAGCAGAAAGATTACATCTTTGAGAGCCAGATTAAGAGAATGAGGTTCATACAAAGTCACAAAAGAAACAAAGAACAAAAGTCAGTGTTGGCTGAGGAAAGGGAAGTGAAAGAGATGCTCAAAGGCCCAGCATCCAGCTGAATAGCTGGGTAACTTTGCACAGCTAGTACAGAACCTGCCAGCTTTCCAAAAGCAACCCATACACAACAGTCACYAAGGGGGCTGAAAATATATAATTACTTTGTTTTTAAGCAAATAATTTGCTTCAGTGAAGGCCCCATTTCAAAATGATTTAGCTTTTGCAGTTAAACTCAGTGAGGATAGCGGGTGAGAGTCCTCAACCACAGCAGTTCACAGCTTAATATGGTAATTAAATAAGAAACTGTTGTTAGTTTGTGCTCACCCGCTGCTCAGAAAAAGCACAGCGCCTCTTTTGTCCCCCCCATCTTCTCTGAGCAGTGGCAGACCTGCCGGTTGGGAAGAGCTCAAACTGCTAGGTCTGCATCTGGAGCGCCCCAGARCAGAGCCCGAGGCTCTGCCACACAGGACCGGGTGCAAGGGCCACTGTCCTTTTTTAGGTGACCCCCGCAACAGGTCCCGCCTGAAGGCTAATTCACATTCTAAATGTGTTTGCTGCCAGAAAGCTTTTCTCCTTCCCTCCCATATGCAGCATTTTACACTGTTAACAACTCCATGAGAAGCTTTTCCACCCACCCTCTCTCCACTCTTCTGCCTGCTCTCCGGCTGCACGCAACAGTTCTGTTCTCCTTCATTCCTGGGGGAAATCACAGCCCTGTTGAATGTACTGTATGTTTTACTACTGTCTTCAGTGACATGGGGACTTCAGTGCTTCCATCCCGCCTTGCTGATGTTCAGCTGCAACCTGCAGACTCATCCAGAGCGTCCCTGAGCACTTAGTTAGGGCACATGGGTGAAAATATGCCTGTGCTCCAGACAAGAGGAAGTTCTGCAGGGGCCAAGACATGTCGCTGTTAACAGACTCACAAATCCTAGTATGGCCCAAAGCACGGCTGTTGAAGCAGCTAGTTTAACAAAATCTAGTTCAGGCATTTATTTGGTTCAGTAAAGCACTAAAAAGCTGTCTAACAAGTACTAAAGTTACAGCTCCCTTTGTCATATAAGAATATATCCCACATTAACAACCATATTAGATTTTTCTCTTATTTTGGATGTACTTCAAGTGCCTTCAGAGTAGAGGTTGCTTTTCTAAAGCTGTCTATTTATACAGCAATTCTGATCTTTTATCTTCTTGTTATTTTTTCTTGCTATTTTAGTTTGATTTCCTTGGGGAACAAAGTCTATGAGAAATTACTGTCTTTCTGTTAATCTCTCCACCCCACCATTCCCTAGAGTAAGTTTTATTTCACTAATCCAATTCTACCAAATGCCTGTGGTCCAGTCAATGTCCTCCAAGTTTAATGGAAAACATTGGCTGCGTGGTGGGGAGGGCGCCTTGATGTTGCTGCTGGGGACTAGCCGGGAAGGAGGGCTCGGCCTGTAGCTGCTCTGGCTGGCACTGCCTGGCCGGACGACCGCAAGTGCCAGGCAGCTAGTCAACAACCCGGGTATCGCTCTGCAGCAGCCACCTATGTACTGCTGCTTGCCCAGCTGCCAGGGAGTGCGAGGGAGGAAAAGATGTAAAAGGGAGTGAAAAGGAGAGGGGAGGGAGAGAGRAATGAGAGAATCTGCAAGGATGGTGCAAGGGAGGTGTGGTGGACATGGGGGCAAGCTGAAAGAAGCAAGATCTTGGAGCAGCGACTCACAGCTGGGAAGAGCAGAAGCACCGCGGGAAAAGGAGACGTTATGGAAGAGCTGAGTGCCTGCAGGTATTATAGATGATCTGGGTAAGGCTGTGGATTTGAGAAACACACACACAACAAAATTAGCTCCATTAGTTCTGGTGCACATGGAACAACTTGTGTGCTCTCATATTCCTCTCTGCCTCTGCTGTGGATCGATTTGACTTACAGGTTTAACAAGTACACAGGGGCTGCAGCTTGTACACAAAGCCTCGGCGTGGGGAAAGCACTKGCAGCCAAGTTTCATATATCTCAAGTGTTTTCTGCACATGGAGCTTTAAAAGTGAAATGAACCCTGTTCTATTAATTGACATGTGGCTGAGTAAGTAGCAACTTGTTAGGATGTTCCTTCCGACAGATTGTTTTAATGTGCTGACCTCCAGCTCCCTCTTTAAATACCAGTCTGTTTAAATGTTTAACATTGCCCATAGAGTTAAAGTTCAAAGATGAATCATAAATTCTATGTGGTCTATTCAAAGGCGAACTGTCTGCAATTTCACAGAACAACTAAGCCCTTTCTCCAAAGGAGATGACAGCTGCAGGGCTCTTGAGGAGTCCCAGTGAGGACAAACACGCCTGGGGTCCCCGTTCCTGCAGCTAAGTGCAGAAGCCCTCACACAGCACCTATCTCCCCGCGTGGCATTTCCGCAACACACGGGGCCAACGCAGCCTCCAACGCATCCTGACAGCTCTGCCTGCGAAAACTTCCTCCACGTGCCTGCTCCTAAAGAGAAACCGCCTCCAAGCTATTCATTGCACAAAGGGGTCGCCTACCTGTYGAATCTTACGTCATTTGCAGCACACTTCCTTAGCAAGAGCACTCGACAATTGCCGGGCCTGCGCTGGTGTCCGCAGGGCAGGAGGCTGCTTTGCTCCCACGCTTAGGGCGGTGCTGTCTGCGGTTCCTGGGCACAGCTATGCAGCAGACCCTCCTTCCACACCCAAAAGCAATGACCGCGTTAGGCCTGTATTTTGGGACAACATTAGGAGGCTTCTGTGTGGGCTCCTCTCCTTGCAGAGGGAAAACAACCCATATCACTGCTCCAGAAYAACCTTGTGCAAACCAAGTGCAACCAGGACCTGCGATGCAAATGGGAATATTACAATTTGTGCAGAGAAGACTTGCACTGCTAGGTAAAAGTGCTCCCACCGACACAGGCAGAAAGGAAKAAGAGGAATCAATATACAGCAGGGCAAGGCTGGTGCATGCTGAAAACTGGTGCCATTTGCAGAATGTTTATTCCTTGGGGATGATTTGTGGACATTTTTAGTAGGGGCAAAAGCAGCACCATGTAAATGTGACATATGTGCCAAATGTGTGAGCTTGCATGAAAGCTGTTTCCTGTTCTCGCTGTTCCTAAATTACACGTTGGGACTATACATACCAGTTGGTAGCAATAATGCATCAAAAGAACAATTTCTATCATCTCACTTATGTGGTATACTTAAACAGAAAATCAAACACAGAAGCAGCTGAGCTATACAGGATTGAAAGACGTGACAAACATACCAGTGTTGCAACATGATCCTGCCTTGCTAAACTGCCTAAATAATGAAGTGGTACAGAAAATGCCACCTCAATATATAAATTCTTTCCCTTCACCTACTTTTTACATAGACATTCTACTCTAGAACCAATTTTCCTTCTTTGAATACTCAGCACTTCTATAGAATTAATGTTTCAAACACAGGAAGAGAAGAGCCTRGAGGTAAATCGGCTTCAGCTTCACGTATATAAGTATCTAAAAAAGTGTAAAAGTGTCATATCTTTTTTTTYCCCATACCCTGTTTTTAATCCTGCAATGTTTTCTAGAGAACAAAAGAAAACAACAATTTTAATAAAAATTAAAGATATAAAAATATCATACTGGTTTTCACCAAGAAGAAATCATTACCTAGCCAAAAAAATCCCCAAATAACCCAATGTTACATCCTGGGCACTCAATGTTTAGTACTAATGAATAAAATTCTAGAGTAAAAGCTTTATAGCTCACATTTGGACTATGCACAGCTGCCCGAAAAGCACATCTCTGCTCTGAGCTTGGAGCAAGCCAGGCTGGCTCTTGCTAAACCTGGCCTAGAAAGCAGAAGCAGAATGAATCACAGTGCCAAGGGACTCCTCAAACGCAGGTAGCTGCTTGCGCATGTGGCTCCACTCTGTGGATTTGCCATCATAGGCTGAGATCCTTCATTTAGACATTTTCTTATGCTTAGAAATGGTATATACAGGTCCTGGATTAAATAGTTGAAATTTACAGTTCTGTTTTTATGAAAATAACTGATGAAGCACTACAAGTCGCAAAGCAGATGTGATTACCCTGGCTTGTATTTGGCTTCTACACTGCCAATATTGCATGCTCTGCTCCTGCCAGCCAAGCTAGGGGCAACACTGAAGTTACCAAAAAAATTTAATGTATTTTGTGGTGCTGATAAGAAGTGGTTCCAACCCTCTAAATACTTGAAATCTTACCATTTCTCTTGAAGCTTGAGTACATAAAACACTGCAATCACATAACACTGTCTTGAGGAGGAAACGATGGTTTAACTCTTTTCAATGACTTGAACTCACCTGAACCAGATTGGATCTCAAGGCATCCTACTGCAGTTTAGACTCACCTTCCCAAAGCTGGCAGCATTAACAGGTTGAGTGTCGTTCTTCTCACAGAAGTCCAAGTAATGCATGTACAGAGCGCTTCGAGGAATGCAAACACCTTCTGCAATCTCATAGTTCTCCTCCAGCCTTAAAAAGCAAATACCAAACAGAGAAAACTGCAAGTATGTTGGATGTCCTGTATTATGAACAATGTGCGAAGATGCATCTTTAAGGTCTAGCTTTCCAGCTTCTGCTTTTTTACTAAGTTTTCTCCCCTTTTTCTTAAGTGCTCCCTTTAGTTCATTTCCATAATGGGTACTCACATCATTTAGTTCCTGCTTCTTAGCAAATACATAGTCTGTGAGTTCTCAGAAAGAAGGGGAGAAGAGCACACCAGAGCCTTGGTCTTAAACAATATCCAAAGTGCTATTTTCAGAGTTAAAAAAAACAAAACCCAACCACCTAAACCATAGCTTATACCCAAAAGCACACTGGAGCAGACAAATAGATGTATAGCTAAGGAACAACAAGAAAACCTCCCCGAGAGGCAGCCTCCTTTCATTCTTTAGAGAACAGGTCACCATTGGTTCAAGACACACTTTGCACTCCTATCCATCTATAACATTTCTTACCTGGAGGATGCAGCTCTGGCTAGAAGWAGTTAATTGCAAATAAAAAAGATTTTAAACAAAATCATCGTTGTATAAAGCCAAGAAAACCAGAGTTCACAATGTGCTGAAATAACACAGTCTCCTGTACCTTATAGAAAATATAATTACTCATTTATACCCGCAAACACAAAAACATATAATTACAAAATCCTAAGTTACACATCAAATATAGTAACAAGTATATTCTTTATCTTTAAACCTTCAAACTGAGCCCATTACAAATCTGCTGATTAGAAGAAGTATTCCTTTAAAATTACAGTCTTATAGTTGCTGATCCAGAGAAGTTCAAGAGGTATTTATGCACACRCTTAACTATAAAACCATCCGTTACCTTGCCATCCCTGGTATTGCTTGTGTGCATGTGGCTATCCATGCACTTGTGCTCCTTGCTGCCTGGGAGCAGAAAGTGGGAGCAACTTCTCAAATACTGCCAAAACTCAAATATTTTCAGAAAACTCCAATTTTCAAGTGGGAGACCCCCTATCATTTGACAGCTGCCGAAGTTCAAACCTTACCAAACATCTAGTTTCTCTCTTTGTTGCCTTTTGTAGGACCTACCTTGCTRCCATTTCAGTTACCATGATCATTTGTGACTGCAAACTATTTTAATCAGATATCCGGCCAGATGAATGGGCTCGGTTTGTATGGGCAACATCTATTCTTCCTCGGTTTCTACAGGAATATCATCCCGACATCTTTCCTCAAATTCATAGCGCTTTAACAAAACCTCCTTTCACAACCTGGAGAGTTCGTTTGTATACGATAGCTGCTAATTGGAATGTCAGCTTCCGCGACCAGGACAGGACAGAAAGAAAAGCAGTTAATTATTTCTGTTCATATCTGATGAATTTTTCTCTTTTTCTCTTCTCTTTCATGGAGAGTCATTAGTCTGACACTGCACAATGCTCCATTATACCTGAACTTTTTTTTAATGATCAAAAAAACCATCTTGCTCCACTTCTTTTATTTTCCTGTCTTTTATTTAAGAACTTTATCATATTTTGAATTCAGCTTCATTCTACAGTATTGTAGAAAGATAATGAACTCAATCTTCTACCTAAAAAATCATTATTAGAAATAATATATATATAAAACATTCTAAAATTCCTAATAAAGTCATGTGAAATCCAGTAGTTCACAATGAGACCTTTTGCTCTGCTACAGTATAGCAATAAAATCCGTAATGCTTTTGCAGAAAGGCAAATTTATATGTCTCATTACTGTTTTCTTCTTTATATTTACACACTTCTAGGTTAAATGAGATTATTCCATAGCAGAGTAGTGCCTGCAGTGTTAACTGTTACAAATTTATTTCTAAATACTATGGGAACAGAACGGTGCAACATTAATACTGCTAATTACATGAAGAATTCTAGAGCAGATTAATTTTGATATATAGAAGAACTTCTGTGAAATTAGTAATCTGGGAGAAGCAATTCCCTAGCAATGATTTACCTTCCTCTTTTTAGTCTTTTTATGGATATCAGAGGAAATTAAATTGTTTTGTGTCGTTGACTTGACCTTCACAACACTGTTACTGGTTGGCCCACCTACACTGTAAGCCCCTGAAGTGCCTGGAGTCAGGTCTGTGCTTGGAGCAAGTCACTGCTTAGGGAGGCAGGTAGGCACACGCAGGTGCCAGTGTGCAATCAAGTACAATTGCACAGGTAAAATACATTCAATCCTTTCACCTATGAAATAATTGTGACTATTCTGGAGCAAAGTGCCGAGCAAGCACTGCAGTTTTGCAGACAATGAACATGGGAGCACGGAGAAGGASAGGACCCCAGGCATCTGTAGATTAATGCCCTAATGGTTAAAGCAAATTGGTTTCCCCAGTCCCAGAGATGGACTCTGACAGTAATGCTACAATTACCAGGTCTTTTGCTTCCTTCAGTGTCATCAACAACAAAGCAAAACGAAGAAAAACATCGTTCCTGTTTCCAGGAAAAGGATATTTAGCCAAGCTAAGAAGCATCCAGAAATGCCTCRGGGTCTTTAGCTACTTACATTTTCTCATTTCTAGTGCAGAGCTTTTTTCAGCTCTAGAGAGATGAGGACTCCCAGGAAGCACTAAGGATAGTCCCCCTGAAGGATAGATGCTTTCCCCTGTTCTTGTCATGATGCCAAACAAGAAGTAATCATGGAAATAGGACCAATGTGACACAAAAAAAAGAAAAGAAAAAGAAAAAAAAAAAGAAAAAAAAACCTCTTGTGTCTTACTTCTCTTTCCCTGCTACTTTCATCCTCTTCTTTTTCCTTGCTGATCCTTTGCTTCTGTCCCCTAACACTCCCTTGCCTTCATAAGCTCTAAATGGCATCTCACAGTAAATATTGTTTTATCCCTAAAATCTAGTCAATCATCTACCCGTCATTTCCCTGTCTCTTGAATCTGGCCCAGAGCTTCCCTTGGAGGGAAGGACACGCACTCCTGAGGGCATATTTCATGTGGCATTTACCCCATGCCACGTGCTCTGGGTATCCCTAGACTAGATGATCTCTAAAGGTGCCTTCCAACCTTAACCATTCTKCSATTCTGGGATATGTAGTACCATTTAGTCCATGATCTGCTGTGGCTGTGCAAAACAGCGCTCGAGGACATCTCTGCCAGAACTGCAATCCAGGGAGGGAAGCACGAGTTGTCGGGCAGTGCAGCGAGCTCGGGCTGCTGACCGCAGTGCGGGCTGCTCGGTGCCGCTGCACGACAAATAACGCGCTGCTAGCGTGCCTTGCTTGCCCTAGCAGAGGAAACCCAACATCTTCACACCAAGCGAGCTTAGAACATTTGGGGACAACAACCACACCTGAGCTTCTAGTTTTATTTATTTATTTATTTATTTATTTATTTATTTATTTATTTATGTCAAACGCAGCAGCACAGTTTCTCCAGGCAATATTAATTTAAAGCTGCAGTACCAAAGCAGAAAATCATATAGAAACCCCCAGAAAGTTCTACCAAGCTGGAACGCTTCTAGCTATAGACATATTAATAAACCAATCATATAATTCAGTTTGATATCAAGTAAAGACATGAAGCTTTAAACATTCATTCTTTTCTCTTTCCTCATGCATTTTGGAGTAGAAAATTGAAGGCGSGAACTGCAGACACCCCAACCGACAACAGGTTGGATGTTTGACCTACCCAAACGTGCAAGAAACAGAACGCAACTGAGAGGTAGTGAGATGGTACACGAGCAAGAGGGCAAAGGAGATGATTTTGAAATAAAAACGAGCAACATTTTTATTTCAAAATTCCAGCATCCTMCTGCAAACACTGCTGGAAGAGCTGTGTCACGCACACTGCATTCCAGCAGGGCTAAATATCCCARGAGTTTAGGGATTTACTAACCTTCATAACTGCAGAAGCTCAGAAACAGTTGGCAGAAGACTGTTTACAGTATCTGCATGTTTGCTGTTGGGAACARTAATGCTGGCACGTTCTAATTAATCCTGACTTCTTGGCTATATCATTATTTGATCCGTTGGAAAGAGTCTTAACTGACTCTACTGAAAAACAAACATTATTCTGAATTTGAGCCTGGCAAGCCCTGCCTACTATTTTATTTTAGATAGATTCTCCTTTACATTCATCCTGTCTGAACCGTATTAAAGTTGTTCAGGTGGATAATGRAAAGTGTAAAAATACATTCATGACACTTCAATAGTATTTCAATGAATTTCTCTATAGACACTCTCCTCCATTTGAATTTCTTGAACTTCTGCAAAACAGCACTTTTGTGGTGCTAACAGATAATAAGGCAGCAATGATTCAGAAATAAGTGGCTTAATTTAAATTTGTCTGTCTCAGTATTTGCACTGGAAGCATCTGCGAGTTTAGCAAGGCAGAACACCAAGTATTTTCAGCACCTTATTTTAATCAACCCACACTGTTTTTAAATCTAAAATTTAACTAACTAACCTTCAAGAGAAAAACAGAATAATCTGAATCTTTTCATGCATATTTCATGGGAAGAAATAGAGGAAAATTCACTGAACAGCTTATTCTTTGCTTTATATTGTTGGATCTCCCATGAGGCTGACACGAGCAGAAAAAAAAATTCTGTTAACAAAACACTATTTGCTSATACATATATATATTCAATCCAGAAAACTATAAGGTATTCTTATAGGTGAAGTAAAAGACTTTCTTTAAAAAACAAAACAGTCTCTTCTGAGGCCTGATGAACTTCTCTGTAACAGAACTCTAATCAGCCAGGCACAGGCAACCTCCTGAAAGGTGCTCAACACCTGTCAGGAAAAAGAAAGCTAAGCCAGAAATAAAAATATAAAGTAAATAGAAGAAAAAAAGAGAGACAACCAAAACCTAGGAGGTGGCTTATGGAAAGAGATGTCAGACGTGTGTAGCATCACAGAACTTGCAGCCAAAAGCACTGCAGGGAAGGCCCGTGGGTGAGGAGCACTTGCTCACTTCCCGTGGCACAGGAGATTATTTGCCTTACGCATTTTCCTCTCCCTACTTTGTCCCTCGCTCTGTCTCTCTCACTCTCTTCTTAAATCCACTTCTTTTTCCTTCACTACATTTCCAAGAAGATTTTGACAAATAAATCAGACTCTAAAGTCACTGCTTTTATCTTCTTCTACCCTAAATTACAGGACTCTCATTTCTGTAAAACAGTCCATAAAGGTGGGCTCCGACACACATTTTTAGTCTTGAAATGAGTTCTCAGTATTTATTTATAACAATGATGAAAAACCATAAACCACCAAGTGAAAAGGGGACAGACAAATCTGCCAAGGAGATCTTCCTAACTGTGTCAGAGCTTTCTGAAATTCAAAGAAATCCTGAAAGAGCAAGGCAGTATTTGAGCACTCTTATAAAGGATGTTAATGAGCCAACTAAACATGGATAGTAAAAATATCTTTAACACTATTTATGATGTCCAAAACCTCTATCCACTCCAGTTGGGAAAAAAAAAAAAAAAAAAAAGAGTAAGAAAAAGCAAGAGCAAAAAGAAGGAATACAGGTTTTTAGGACTGTTTTTTAAAAGGCATCTTACCATTGCAGAGTGGCTGGAGTTGAGTGTGGTTTTGATGCTCTATTATTTTCTTTTTCCTCATCTGTTAAGAAAAAAAAATCTGTGTAATTTAAATGGGAATTGCTCAAGCATTTGTGTACTGATAAGTAATTTTCTGTCCAAATACACTCTCAGGTTTCAATGTTTCCCCTAAATAATGGCCAAATTATGGAAACAAGTAACATGATGCCCCCTAAGCTAATGTTCATAACTGTTTCTTGCAACAAAGCTGGTAAATATCACTTATCAGAACATAAAACAACTATAACCGGCTTTAAGGGAACAGCTGCTTTATCCAAGTTTTCTCTTAACTGAGGCATTTAATCTCATGGGTTCATTTRCTGCTGTCATCCTAGAGGACACTATACAGGTTATGCTGAAAATGAAAAATTAAAAACACTCTCTAGTACATGTTACTTTTTTTCAGATAAGTTTTCCAATTGCATTCTTGATAACCACTTCCCAAGGCAGCGATTTGATCTTTGATCTGCTCTACTTCCTAAAAAGATTAATTAAAAATCAATTAAAAAAAAAGATGAAAACAAAAACTGTTTTGAGATACTGGATTTTCCCTAATTCACATTTTGAAAAATCAAAAAGAATGTATAATTCCTTTTAAACTGATTTGCAAAGCATTAAAAAAAGAAAAAATTCTAAGCATGATCCAGGAGCCTGAAGCACAACCTGCCTCTCCGGAAGGGTATTCTCTGGGAATCCCTGCCATCCTGAACATAGTTTTAGTGTTTTCACAACTTCGTGGATGATGCAGGGGCTGAACGCAGAGGCCTGTGGTAGCCCAGCAAACAGCAGGGCCATGGTGTCCACACACCATGTTGCAAAGCTGCATTTCTTGATGTGGGCAACTTGCAGAAGCTGCTTAGGAGAGTCCCCAGGATGAGTCTGAATATCAGACCCCTCTAGGAACTCTTTTGTGCAGTCCCAAGAATGGATACAGCCAAAAAACAAAACACAAACATCCTCCCCACCCCTTAAAAGGCAACAGAAAAACAAAACAAAACAAAAACACCACAAGAACACTTTGCAAAATGCAGCCTTTTATCCCTGTGCCACAGTATTTCCTCCACTTCACGTGGGGCAACTGGTGCTGGCCAAGCACCCCTCAGTCTGCCAGGCCAGGCCCTTGCCATGGGGTGCACCCCGGCTCCAAGCACAGTTATGGCAGACACCTCAGCTGCCTCCCTCGCCATCCGCATTACAAAAGCGCTGCTGGTGACCGCACTGCACACTCCTTCCCAGCCTTTCAGGCAGCCCTGCCTTTTACTGCGCCCACAGATCCAACATAGACATTTCCAATCACTTTTAAAGCACGTGGTTTTGTTTTGTTTTTTCATTCTTGATTTGTTGCTCCTAAACAGACAGTGCCAGAGGCAACAAACCTCCAGCACCTGTGGCCTGGCTGCTGAGGTGGCGTGGCCACTAAGGGTGGCTGCACGAACTGCCAAGGTGGCCTGGCCAGCCACCAGTGTAAGGTGCAGGAGAATGGGGGTAACTTGCGAAGGCTTCACCTCAGGAAAGCGTCTAGGGAGCCTCCTCCATCCCTCCTGGCTTCAGTAATCAAAGCAGCGCTGGACGTGCTGGCCTGGCGAGCGGGCCTGGCGCCTGTGGCGACAGGAGGCTGCCCATGGCTCTCCACGGCCCTGGTGTGGGGCACCAGCCGGCTCRTTCGCAGCCCGCCGGATTGCCCAGAGCCTTGGGCACTATGGGGAGGCAGGGGACCCCACCGTGAGGTATGCAATGGTGGCCCAGGGCCACGTGAGTGACCCCCAGGCTCCACAGACCTCTGCTTGTGACTAAGTTCACGACAGGGCGCTCTTCATCTCCCTGCAAGCTTGTGGAGGGCTGCAGACTGAAAAGGTTGAAAGCCATCGGTCTTAAACTAGATATCCCAAACCTTAAACAGTCCCTCTCAAAGCATCTGATTACCCATCAGATTTAGATGGTTTTCATCTACACTAACAGGACTTAAATCTCTCTATCCAACTTTGACTCTAACAGACATCGAATCAATATTCAAGCCTCTACAATTCAAGCAATTTTCAAGCAATATTCAAGCCTCTACAACATCCATCTGACGGCCTCCCTGTTGAGCAGGTAATGTTTTGTGCAGGTAACGTTCCTGTGACTCAGGACTGAACCCAAATCTAATTGTACAGCAAGAAAGAAACAAGGAATACTCTTTGGCCTGACATTTTATCAGTCCCCCCTCAAAACAACACTGTGGATTACAATGACCCAATACTTCTTAAAATTGGATACTTGAAAAATCCCCTCTTGTCAAGAAAGAGAATAAAGATGTGAAAAAAAAAAAGTCTTGTTCCAGGCACTGTCAAAGAAGAGAGCTCACAATGCTTGACTGGCCAAGGACCCAAAGCCACGAGGAAGGTCACGCTGCTGGTGCTCGCTGCAGGTGCTCACAGGTGCGGCTGCTGCACTGCACTGCACTGCACTGAGAAACCTGTTTGTGAGGAGCAGGTCTAGTAACTCACTGCACAGGCAGTGACACACGCAGCAGTCCTCTTACTGGCTTCCCAAGTGAAGGTATCTCACGCTAGCTCATCTGGTAGAAAAACTGATACTCATCCCAAGCTGAAATCATGCCACAGGTTATATAGGTAAACCTCTCAGCATGGAAAACACCTCTCCATCTTAACATTAGCATTGCTCTCCTCCAAGAGATATCAGAACCTTTTTCTTCCCAACCTGCATGGATGTTTTTGCTAACATCCTTTTCCTGGCAAAACTCTGTTTCAAAGCTGCCAGAGTAAAGCTGAACTTGGATGTTGCATGTGCATTTGTGGCCCACCTTCAACTTTCAGTAATACCCTTTAATTTCTTCTGCCTTGAGATTTAGTTCAGCCTCCAGGGATTTCTTGCTTCTCAGTGCAGGATGTGGAGACAAATGARCAGGAGCTGCGCTCAGCATCTCCGAGCAGCTTGCCTTAAGCACAGCAAGCTGAACACCACAATAGTGAAGACCCAGCGTTGGACACTTTTTTTCAATTGTTGAAGCTGAGCACTGTCATATACTAAGTGCAGTGGAAATATGTGAACAGCCCTATACTTGGCAGTCCTGCGTGTGTATGTATAGTCAGACCTATTAGAGACTCCATCTAGGCAAAATCCTGTGTTTAGTTCAGGCAGATCCACAGCTGTCTGAGGATGTGGATGTGGATGCAGCTTCTCACTCTCTTGTTCCTACAGGCCAGGTTCTGGCTGTTTTCAAAARGGATCTGGCTTTTGCTAAAATGATTTAAGTGTTAAGAAGAAGCTATCGTGCCTCTTAATTCCATGTAGCTACAAATAGGATCCAGGCTCCTTAGCATATATCCCATATGAAAAAGACTAGGATTTTTCTGAAGGCTGCAAGAAATATGGGAGCATAATTCAAATTCAGTAGGTGCGACTGGAAAGGATGTTTTTTCCAAGGAAAATTTCAACAAAAATCAAGCTGTGTTAGGAAGGAGTTCAAATTCTGAAATTCAGCAATTAATCAAATTAATAATAATAATAAAACAAAACAAAAAAGATTTAATGATGATTAAGACAATCCCTTTTAATTGAATTCACTYTAAGGAAAAAGCACAATTTCCCTTCCCCAAAAAATTTTATAGGAAAATTTTCAATTTCCAACAGCTTGAGCACTGACCCTGAACAATGCTTGTAAAGCACAAGGAGGAGTCTGAATCTTTTCATTTGCATCCCATGAACTGTTTATACATTTACATTTCTAAACATAGACAAATTGTACAAGCAGCCCTTCCACTTTGTCAGATAATGTCACTCACGGAAAGCTGAAGTTGAAAACTGAAGGTCAGTCGAACTTTTCAACTGAAGTTGAAAACTGAAACTTTTGTAATGCTTGAACTGTCTTCTTCCATACCCCTATTTCAATTTTGCAGAATCTGCTTGAAGACACAGAACTAAGAAACTATTTTCTYTTTTATCTACTAGATATGGGGTTATGCCATTCCCCTCTTCCTGTGGGTCTTTTGATTAACATGTAGAATGAAGAAGTAGCAGAAGAAATGCTTAGGAAACTGGAAATTAAATAAAAACTAAACCGCAAAGTTTATATTAGAGTGTAGCTCCTCTGTTTCATAGAGAAGTCACACTAGGCTTCAAAAAATTAAGAAAAGTTCCAAGAAACGGCAATCAGAGAAAATCTACCACTGTAARTCATTGTTTCCTCTGCACTGTAATGTTCAATAGGCCTGAAGGCCTGGCTGAAGACAGAAGATTGCAAAAAACTATCTCCTCTGAGATATAATTCTATAGCATAGACCAACTATAGAAAAAGAGACCAACAAAACTATAAATTTTGCTCTCAAACCCTAAGAACTATAAAAAATCTAAGAAAAAAAAAATATTACAAAAGCAAGCATGACATTCAAAAAGGATATTAGTATTTTCACAGTGGAAAATCCCATAGTTTTCAATTAATTCAAGGTTAAAAAAAAAATCTTTCCCTGATGGGGTCCAGACAACAAGTACCTAATGTATTTAGGCATAAGAAGACAAGAAGTCAAAAGAAAGATGGATTATGCCTTATTTTGGCTTCAAAAGAAAACTAAAACTCTGCTTATGATTGTAATTTGACCACTGGGCTGAGGAATTCAAACATTTTGCTGCCCAGTAAATGCACGGCACAGACTGGACAAAGACCAGTGTGATGGTYTGGAAACTCCTTGGTCAGTGTGTGGGAACTGTTAAAGAAATTTTAGAAAACTCAAGAGCTTTCTCTTTTTCAAGAGAAAAAGCCCACATAGCACAATGCTTCCTCAGGTGAAACTTCTCCTTCTTGGAAAACGTTTGTCTTCTTTCCTATTCCCTCCTCCAGCACCCAATAAAAATAATGGATTTTTCAGGTGGATTAGTGCACTCTCAAAAATRCTGATACCAATGAAAAGGAAACAACTGGAGGACCTGCCTATACCTCTGTATCTGTGGTTTGAGTTTTCATGCTGCACTGTGACAACTCGTTCTGCAAACTGTGGGATAAATTCACTTACATATTTGTCTTTTACAGTTCTAAATTTGTTGCCTTTCAGTATCATCAATCACCCTGTAATTCCAGTACTATGAAACAGAGTGAGCTGTCTTTTCCCAGTGCGATTCCCTGAAATACCCGCTCTTGGTCATCCTTGCCAACCGACACAGTGTTCCCCTGCATGTGGAAGGTTTTTCCCTGCTTCCAACTTAGCTATAGGCTCCTACATCACACAGCCACTAGTTCTGCTACAAGCTGCTTTGGGTACCAGGTCTGGAAACAAACACRGGAGGAGACTCATATACTGACATTAAGCCTTTAGTAGTAGTAGGGGCTGGTAGTGCTGAGTAGCTGCCTTGTCGTGGCTGTCTTGAACTGCGAGTCTAAGGAAAAGTTCACTAAAGTCACTAGGATTGAATCCTAAATTCTGCCTCTGTTAAGAGTTGGAAGTCACTTCTCCACTGTCACTGTGGACAATTTCCCTCACTTTCTCATCAGAGTAAAATGAATTTTATAAACTCTCACAGGCTCTGAAAAGCAGATTTTTTTTTGTTTGCCTTTTGCTTTTGTAATTTCACTACCTTTTTTTTAGAGAAGAACTCAATTCAGAATCCTTAATTATTTAAAAACAAAAAAGAATAACCCCAAAATACAAACCTGCCTAGTTTTATTGCTTTCTTTGGAAATTCTTATCAAATGAACTCAGCTTGGGAGCTGTGAACAAACATCATGCTTCTAACACCTTCCCTCTCCCTCAGAAGAAACCCCCAGAMAAATGAAGTAGAGYCCCAGTGTAGAAAACTCTGTAATCCACTAAAATACTGTGCTGCAAGACATGTAATTTCACAGCGACATCAAAATAAAGTAGTGCTCTTAAAATTTTAATGCATTTAGAACATTTAGCAATTAAGATTAATAAAATACAGTTCTTTAACTCAAAAAGACACATACATTTCTATAATATTCAAACACAGAAATTTAAGAATTTATTCTGCATTGATCTGTTGTAACATGAACTAATATATGAAGCACGGAGGGGGAAATTAACCCAAATATTATTTTGCTCTAATCAAATTTAAAAGAGTAAAAGTTGCATAAATACTAAAAAAACACTAAAATAAATTAGAAATTTTAAAAAGAATCTGTTAGTTTTAAGTTTAATTTGTTTTAGGATATTTTGAATTACTTTCTTTTTTTCAAAATCAGGACCTAAAACTACTATAACTGGAGGAAATGAGGAAAAATATCAATTTTTAAATCAATTGTTTCCTTTGGATGATTAAGAAGGAAGCATTGTTGGGATATATTTAATACATGATTTTTTAAAATTTGAAAATAATTATTTAAATAAAAACTAAATTATTATTTATTCTTCAAATAAATATTTTATATGGGCGATTCAATTCCCGGGTACTGAACAACAGCATGTTTTTGCCTGTATTTCAGCTGGACAGTGTTCAGCTGGACAGCAAAACATGGTTTTTTTCCACTCATGAACTAATACCCTTTAAAGGTCACCCAATTTTTATTTAGTGACACCCAAATTCTGCTAGATGTTGTAGTCTAGTATAGTATAAGGATAGTATTATTTCCTTTTAAACATGAGAAAAAACAAATATTCCTGCAAAATCATTTCTGAAACTACTGAACAGCTCTGTGAATTGACTCTTCAAACTATGGAGTACCAAAAAAAAAAAAAAAAATCACAAGGGTATAGCAACTTATACAGGAGTAAAGCAGCACTTGGATATCTTCACAAGCATTTTAAATTAATGAGAAGTTACTTACTTTCATCATTAGAAACATTCCCCAGAGAGGTGTGACTGGAATAACGTTTGTTTTCACTTTCGTTGAGACATCGTTCAATCCAACTCTCTGCAAAACAACACAGTTGCTCTTTTTTTTTGTGCTTGTCTTTACATAGAAAATAAATTTACGACACATAAAAATTAAATAAAGCACCATGGTTTTCAGCAGATGGTATTTAGTAGCATTTCTGCTAAAACACACTCAGTCTGAAGTTATTTGTCAAGAAAAATCCTTTCTTGCTTTCAAATTTAGCTGCTGCTTTTTAGATTATTCTTAATGACAGAGGCTGAAACACTTCCTTACACATGACGAAATCTCCCGAAGATATTATCTCCCCATTCCCATCACATGGTATATATATTTAAAAAAAAAAAAAAAAAAAAAAAAGTTTCACACAGGCAAATTAAAAAAAACTTTGCCATCAGAATGGCAAAGACTTTATGCACTAGTTTGGAAAGGACTCTGCATGTAAAATCAAGCATTCAGGTGCATTTTTGTTACAGTGGCCCTCAAACAGCTCTCTTTTACATGAGATTTTGTAACTCTGTTCACTCTGGAGCCTCAGGCCCTGCTGAGCACTTTACCCCACCGCTGCAGGCGTCCCACGTCGCAAGCCAGCAGGCACTGAGCTCGCCCAACCTCTGCATCGCCCAGTGGGTGCTCTACCCACCCTGTGCTCTTACCTTACTCCCCTCTTACCCCCCGGCAGAGGAGGTGCAGCATCTCAGGGGACTGACTCTGCTGCTGCCCCCCCTCCACACTGTATCTTTTGCTCTCGGATCATTTCAGAGAATGCACCAGGCTCTACAGAAATTGCCGTTACACTCTTCACAGCAAAAGTTGCCTCTTGCTGGRTGCTTCCTTGAACCATATGTGTAATTAGTCCTTCAGTTTGTGCAACCCGAAGACACTGACTGCTGCAACAAACTAACCATAACCCTCACAGCATTATTTTTCAAGTGGGCAGATGTGGCAGCATAGTCCCATGGGGTCTGCACCGGACTCAAAGCAGGAAAAGGAGAGATGGGGGAGGCCCCACAAACTACAGGAGGAAATAACCCTGAAGAGGGACGAGGCACACAAGAATTAAAGTAAAATAGGCCTTGCTGTCAGTAAAACTGTTGGAATCGGAAATACCTTCAAAAAAAACAGAAATACCTGCAGTTTTGTTTCTGTACATTACCCTACAGAGACATCAGACTGTCTGCACAGAGCTGTCTTGGGAAGGCTGTCTGTGCGGTTTGCAGAGTGTAAAATATTACTTCATTTCAGAATTAGAGACCAAAAAATAAATACATGAACAATAACAGACATACAGCTCCTGCAGAAGGTGGGGTGCACAAACTCACATACTCATCTACTGCCTTTCACACAGCCTCCACTGCCACACACAGCAAAGGGCAGGGGCATCCCCTGAAGAGCCATTCTCCTCCCCTGGCAAAACGGTATTTTCCAGAGCCCGCTATAAGACCCCAAGTACAACTGCTCTTTGTATTTCTGGTGCATTTCTCCCAGAATAGGGAAACTCATGCAGAGTTTTCAGGATTGKTTTTTTTTTTTCATCAAATTCAACATGGCCTTGCAGATATATTAAAAAACTCTCTCTAAGGCCACTGACACAACTTAAAACTTACCAGCAAAGTCCAAGTTGCCTAATGGGCACCCACTCTGCTACTAACCCACAAACCCGCAACGACTCAACCTGGAAGGCTTTCCTGCCTCACAGGGCTCAGCTGCTGTGGGTGGGGGCACCACCTCCTTGTCTGAGGGCCAACACAACCCTAGGGCTGTCCCAGGCCTGGTACTTCCCCGAAACCGGGCTAAAAAGTATCCCTTCCTTGCCGTTTTAATGCTGCTGGGGACAGATGTTGGGTTGGTGCAGATCTCTAGCAAGTGAAAGGAAACTCGCCGTGGAGGACGGCAGCCGAGCGGGGCGCGAGCAGCCTTGGAGGGGTTACGCTCCCTCCGCCGCCTTTCAGAGCGCAGCAAGGGCTGTGTATAATTCCTTTGGCTTGGAGCCCGGCTGCAGGGAGTGAAAGCGAAGGCGGCTGCCAGTAGTGCCAAGGAGAGACCCGTGCCCAGCTCGGCCCTTTCTTTCCCTCCCTCTAGCGAGGGCTGGGAAGCTGGGGCTCGTCCTCTTCCCTCGGCAGTGGGTAACAGCCAGCAGCCATCTTCAGTCACGCTCCCCGCCTGAGGAGTGGCGAAAGAAAAGCTTTTTAGGGGTGATTTGATAGCAATTTTCTTGCCACCATCCTCGTTCACACACTGTGATAAGCACGTATATGGCCCCTTTCACTGCTAAAGAAGCCGGCTTACACGGCAAGTTTGAAAGTCTGGAGTGGAGCACGGCTACTGCTTAATTACGTGCTGCGACTAGTCTGGGCCTGAATCGCCCCGGCGCAGCTCRCAGCAGCCGCAGCCGCTTTGTCCCCGCGGCCTCACGTTTAAATAGCTGCTAGAAATTCTTCAGGCCTGAAAAGATACATGACCTGTCTGGCAGCAAAGAATGAAGAAAACTAACTCTTTTGAGCTAAAATGTCAGGGAGTTTTTGGCAAATTTGTCAAATTATTTGGCGGATGCCAAAAAGGAACAAAACCAACTGACTGTTTAAGAGCTATAGTATCTGATGAACTCAGTGATGCAAGTATGCGTAAATAAGCACTCTGATAAATACTTTAGGTTAGTAAGTAGCTTTGCTTTACTGTTGGGTTATAAAGAAATATTTTTACAAAGTTTTTAACACCTAATATTAAGAAGAATGCCTTCCTGCTTTAAAAGGAAAAGGCAACTGCAGTTTTGCTGAAATTTAAAATATTCCTTTCAGGACCCCATAGATCCTAGACATGATAGGAGCTGTCCAAAATAAATAAAAATAAATAAACAAATGAAATTAAGATTAATAAAAAGACTAGGCTGCACAACTTAGCCAGGGTGCTGGGGGCCTGGCCCAGGCAGAGGAGGACACCACGGCTTGGGGTCTCTAGCCAGGGGCTTACTTGCTCCCAGACTCTTGCCAACCACACTACGCCGCCGTTCTGGACATATACCGAGTTACATGGTGTGAAAATTTTTATCGACTTCAGACTTCATAAGCTTCTCCTGGTTACAGTTTCTCACTGGGAAGTGTCACGGAGTAACAGAGAGCTCAGGTGGTGATTAAGCAGAAGTGCAGATAAGATGAACTGTTAGACACCAGGTAGAAAGTCCAGCCTTTTCACGGGATTGTATCAGCACAGGAGAACCCTGGGTCTCGCTGTGGTTTTGCTACATCAGGTGTTAGGGCTTTTTGGCCTCCCTGTTCCTGATTCCTTCCCCTGCTGAGCCCCAGCACACGACACCTTTAGATGCACCAGTTTGAGCAAGGATCAGCACTATGTAGAAAACAACCAGGCAAAAAAATACATGTATAAAATTTGATCAGTCCCCTAGTATAACTGCGGGCACAGTGAAGGCATATTATTCCGTACAGGGAAGCAATTAACACTGGGGCAGAGGTGGGGACAGGGGAAAACCTGGATGCTGAGGACACCTCCTCGTGCAATCACAGGGATGCTCTGGCTGTTGACTAGCCACACTGACCCCAGAGCAGCTCATTCCCATCCTCATGCTGCCTCTGCCCCTTGGTTATGCCACTACAGCYGTCAGAAACTTCACACCTCCCCTCCCTATAGTTGTTTTCAGCCACAGTTCTCAAAGGCACCATGTAGTCTGAGGAGAAGTTTGTCTCTTTCTCTTCTGGAAGGTAGCAGAGCCTTTCCCGTGTCTGTTAGGGTTTCAGCTCCTGCTCCAGGAAAAACGCAGCCACTTCTCTGCTAAAACCAGCCCTCAAGGGAGATGGGAGCCATAGCGCTAAGGGAGGAGCTCAGCTCTGGGGCCAGGTGTGACTAGCCAGGAGCCAGGGCGAGCCCCACCGTCCCCTGGCTCTGCCTGTTGTCCGCCCACATGTATTAATGGTGTTTTGAAGACACACCTTTAAATACTATATCAACCAGTTAGTTTGGAAGGATCAAAATGTATCATAGTGGAGCATACAACTGTGTCCCTCAGTTTCACATTCATTTTCATTTTTATATGCTTTTTAAGACAAATGTATGTTGTGCAGATTCAAGCACGGAGGGAAAAAAATTATTTAAATCACAATCATTTTTGCAGTGTCAACTTTCTTACACAAAAACTTGAGAATGAGCATCATGCAACAAAATAATATAAACCATTCCCAGTGAATTGGTGAAAGATGAATTTAGGAAGCCTATGAAATTACTCCTGGTTCCCATTTCCCCCTTCTCTCTTTGATCCTAACTTTGATAAACCTTATAAATCCACTGCACCTCAAGCATGACGGTATTCTTCTTCCATTAGATGTGCCCTCACACACATTCAGCAACAAAAGTTAAAATAAAATTTGTCTTTAAAAKCCAGCAGAACAGAGGCCTGCACGGCTGCCCTTCTTCCGCACCCGTTACAAGGCTCCTCTCTGTGTCCAGACAAGCATATTTGTCTTTACATACTGTTTAAATGCAGTGCCAGGAAGAAAGACGTGGGACCTCCAAAGCAGGAGAGCATGAGAGCTGCTTTGGAGGCAGGAAGAACTGGCAGGAARGAGGGACATGAATTTTCTTTGCTAKCTTTTTCACTGATTATCTCCTTCAGAAGACTAATAATTCAGAATTCTTTCACTGATGGCTTTTCCCTCCTTTCTGCATAAAACAGCCGCCAGRGACTTCTGTCAGCGGCCCTCTCTGTGCACAAGGAGGGCGGCCAACGCAGTGGGAGCTGGAAAGCAGCRGGCAGGTTGGGGAGGACAGGGCTGCCACCGGTGCAGCCCTGAGGGTGCCTGCGTGTGGAGGGGCCTGGAGGAAAACTAAAGATCTTAGAGACAGAATAAAACTGCGTGGTCACCTATGCCGAGCTGTATGCTCTTCACCCTACAGTGGAGTAACTAAATGTGCTGGTTTTACCCTCATTTTGCCATATCCTGTGGTCTGGTTRTGGTCATATGACCAAATTCGTTTTGAATTGCTACTTTTTGCTGTGGTTGTACTAAGTTGCAATTGCTGTGATCTGG